TAAATATAGTGTTGGACCGCTATAGTTTTTAAACTAAATTCGAAAAACAATAGGACTGCAACTTTTTTTTTGTAAGTATTTAAAGTTTAAATTTTAATGATAATAAGGATAAAAAAAATTACTTTATTAGCTACCTATACAATATCGTGGAAATATACTTCAGTATATACACTAAGTATTTAATACACTCTAACAGACCGTCTAAGCTCAGAATCAATTTTCTTTTACAACATAATTTATCATGGAATTAAAAATTAATAAAATAAACCTTACAGARACTTCTTCAATAACGAGGTACGCTTCAGTGGTTCCATATATTTACTACAGGTACCTACTTACAGCAGAATAATTACTTCCCTTTTAAAAAAAATTAAAAATTCAATATTAAGGTACCAATATATAAGTACCTACCTACTACTGTTATAAATGTATAATCAATMCTACTACCTACTCATGTTAATTAAATAAATGAATTATGAATATTATATTTTATGTTTGAATAAAAACATAAAAATGTTAAGTTTGTTTTAAAATATGGATAGTACTATTTTAATTATATATATATAATTCATACTTCAGAAGYTTGAGTAAGTTTAATGGATGTTTGATTCCAAGCATCTTCTTGAGCCGTTCCAGAATCCAACAGTCGTTTAATGGTGAAGTAACAGTCCTCGATTTTACTAAAAATATAAAATCTAGTGGGTTATACCTTATACCTTTTATACCATACTAAAAATATAGGTACATTGTATTGTTTTCAATTATATAATATTACAATACTATAGAGTATAGATGTCTTGCCCGTCCTTGCCAATATCAAAGTGTTATATTTTTATAAATATATTTCATAGATAGATAGGTATATAAAATTCAGAGTCCTAGAGAGTAGTTTGAACCACGTTAACCTAACTGAGATATACAAATATAACGCAGTATTTTGTATCGATTGTTCATTTTTGCCCGAGCCAAGTCGGGTTGAACATCTATTATTAAACTACGCGATGACATTATTGTATCTAATCCGCTTTAGGTTGGATTAAGTAAAAACGACGAAATTGGTATAACTTTAMAACTTAAGAGTTAGAAATTATATACTATCGTTTTCAATGTTTTCATATAATCAAGGGCACCCGCAAAAATATAAATAGGAGAAGTGGCAAAGACCAAARTCTTTGATAATGGAGCACATATAATTAAAATTTTTATTTTGCAAGTAATAAGAACGAAAATAACAAATAGTGGAGAGACCTTACGCTTAATCACAAGCGAGTTTCACAGGCTCCCTATTTGTYGCAGGCAACGGTTGGGATTATTGGTTACAGACTATAATGAAAAAATAAAAAAATTTAAGTTTTTAACACCATTACACTGAATGTAAAATAATGAATTAAACAATACTTTAATCATAAGGAGTKTGAAAATTTAACAGACAACGAAATGCACTGGGTCAGCTAGCATGTATACAAAAATATAATTAATAATATAATTAATTAATTAATATATAGTAATTTAAATCCTTGGATATAATGCTATAGATTACTATACATAGTACATACCTTCCGGCGACTTGGAAAAACGCACTGACCATACAATCTAATGTCGTCGTCCAAGACGATTGTTTTAAGCTGTTGTATTTTTCCAAGTATGACAGGGTTTCAGACGTAGACACTTTGTTTCCCATTTGCACGGTTTCGTACGATTTCATCAAAAATCTATTTGATTAAAAACACGTAATAATTTACAAGATAGATACAGCTATTAACTAATAAGTGGGATTTGCTGGTATATTTTTCCAATATAATTTTCACAACACTACATTGGCATAMTTGATATTTAGGAATACTCCTTATATATATATGACAATAGCCACTAGGTATTAATTATATTTAATATTAATATTATTTAATAAAAACGTATACATTTGGATAATAACTCGATATTAGTGTGTCAGTATGTGTAATAAACTAATAAAATATATAATTTAAAAATTAGTATATTAACAGTATTATGAGCGATCCCTTAGAACAACGGTTCCCTACCTTTTTAGTTGTACGGACCTTTAGTACTAATAATATTACAGTAAATAAAATATAAAAACTTAAGCAATAAAAATGCACATGAAAAAACGGGGCAAAGCTCAGAAGCTAGTTCAAGCCCACCATAGATACAGATAATTATATCATCAAATCAGTGCCAAAAATATAATAT